GGAACGAATTATGTACTTAACCCAAGGTACCACTGTCTTGGCATTTCCCCATAAATTCTTACATTTAGTAAATGGTAGAATTTAGATAATATTTGGAGTAGTATTGGAGATGCCAGGCACAGTGTAAAAATACAGGTTGAGACGGAAGATGACGGCAGGGTCATTGCCCTGACAAGAGGTGAGACGTTCAGCGTTAGGCAAGAAGTGGGGGGAGGACTTCCTCCCCAGTTGTGTTAGCAAAAGGCAATAGCAGAGTTGGGGGAGAGAGGTTGCCAAGGTAACAGGGGGCGTGATGTCACCACAGGGAAAATGTGTTCTTTTAGACAGAGATTTTTGAGCAAGGGTTTTGAGGAAGAAGAAGAAGAGAGAGGCCAGAACTCAATGTGGTGTTGGCTGGGAGAGGCTGCATGCAGAGACTGGGGAGCATGGCTATTTTCTGCTCTAGACCCAAGCCTGTTGAAGCTGAGAGGGGAGCAAAAAGAGAGACTCATGGGGTGGAATGTTCTGCACTGCCTCCATAAGACTCAGGCGTAAGTATGTGTGACTAAACCATATTTCTTAAAGACACTGCAGTTTCCGCTGTGCCTCATTCCAAAGGAACACAATCCCCGGTTAAGTGCAAAGACCCCTTGAATCTTGCTACTGCTTGGCAGAGATTGGGGTGGCTTGTAGGAATAAATAGTACAAACTGATGTTGAAACAGAGATAACTGAAGATTGGAGCAATGAGAAAGCAAGAGAAAGAGTAATTAACAGATTCTCCCACCCCTAGTCCCATAACATGCATCTACTATTAGTTCTGGGGCTGGAAAGAGAGGGAGGCTGCACCTAGTGTGGGCATAAAAGCTATCCCACCCCCACCACAAGTCCTGTTACTTTATGTGCTTAACAGAGAGGGAGTGAGATGATCTAGTTCCACAGCTTTGATCTGCCTGGATCAAATTAATTTACAGATAAAAGGCCACTGCAGCATTCTTGATGCACAGCTGAGGTGTGTTTTTTTTGGGGGGGGTAAATAGTCTTTAAGCTGAATTGCACATTAGCAAAAGCAAACAATTAGGGAGGCCTGCAAATAAGGAAATACAGTTTTGGAATTCTGCTTGAATGTTGCACAGGCATGAATCAAGGGGCTTAGATCCTGCTGAGGCAGCATCAACTTTAATGTTGCTCTGAAAGGCACAGCCCTGCCCTAATTATTTCGGCAGCAGATTCCAGTTGACTGTTTGTGGCAGAGCTTCTGTAAAATTCACAAAGCAGCTCTATTATACCTTTATTAGGACCAATTAAAAAATTGCAAAGGACTCAGCTCGCTTTGAAAATTCACAAAACTCAAGGTTGATGTTTTATTTAAAGAAGAAACTGGTAAGGAAAGTACATTGTGGGTTGAGGATGTAGGACAGGGATAAGGAATCTATGGTTCTCCAGAGGCTTTTGGACTCTGGTACCCCTCATGCCTGACCATTGGCTATGCTGGCGGGGACTGATGGGAAATGGAGTCAGGCTACAAGTTGCCTGTCCCTTGCATATCATGCCCTTCTTCCAAGAGGAGCCCAGGGCAGCAAATATCATGACAACAGCAATTAAAGCATCTAAAAACAACTAAAAATAATTCCAATATAGTTGCAGACTGGGGAAGATTTCTTCTTAAAAGACTTGTTGGAAAAGGAGGCGTGGCTGTCATACATTTAACGGGAGTGCATCCCAAAGGGTAGGTAACAACTGTAAAGGCCAAATTCCTGCATTAAGATGTGTTAAGGTGTGATAAAGATGGTATCTGCTGGAGGCCTTTGTCTGCAGAGTACAGTGATTAGTTGGGAACATAAGGGGGTGAGATATCTTAATTCTAAGCTGTACAGGTCTTGGTCATGGGTAGGCAAACTAAGGCGCGGGGGCTGGATCCGGCCCAATCGCCGTCTAAATCCGGCCCACGGATGGTCTGGGAATCTGCGTGTTTTTACATGAGTAGAATGTGTGCTTTTATTTAAAATGCATCTCTGGGTTTGTGGGACATAGGAATTCATTCAATTCCCCCCCCAAAAAATAAAGTCTGCCCCCCACAAGGTCTGAGGGACAGTGGACTGGCCCCCTGCTCAAAAAGTTTGCTGACCCCTGGTCTTGGTAGATGTCCCGACGCAGTGTTACATGGATCGTTCATATGGCACCCAAACAACCACACGCACCGAGGAATGTCTAAGGTGGGTTGTGAGGCCCCATGAGCCAGCCCTGCCTGTGTCGCTGAATGATGCATCCGGCAGTCCCAACCCCGTACCGTCTGCTCATGGGAGAAATGCACACTGATCTCCATGCAGTGGTAGTGGGAGGGCTTCTAGGATCCCCCCTCACATGCAGGATCTCTAGATACACATGTTGATAAGCACATAGAACTCTGTTTCATGTGTGCCAAGCAGGTGAATGAGGTCGGGGCTATTCCATGTGGATCTATGGCCTCTCATCCGTTCCTTGTCCAACTCAAGTGTCAGAGACATGGCTGGCAGAGAGGCGTCTGCAGAGGGGGAGGAAGAGGCAGAGGAAAACAGGAACTTGATTCTTTCACACTAAGAAAGTGGGATAGGCCCTTCTAGCTCTGGAATGCTGCCTGTAAGTTTTTGCAGCAGCACAGAGATGCAGGAGCAGGAGGCAGGTCATAGGAGGGGTTTGGATTCAGCTCCAGAGGAGGAGGAATTGGCTGCACCTGAGTCTCCAAGAAGCAGGAGGCGGAGCAAGCAATTAGAACAAAGGAAGACCAGCAGGAAATGGGGTGGGCGTGGTGTATATCTGGCCTTGGGAGGGGCCAGAAGCCAGTCGAGTCAACTGACTCTGACAGTGAGGAATGAGCTGTGGAAGCTCGGACTGCTGAAAGCCTGTTATTGCTAAATAAACCTCAACTATTAAAACTGCCATCGTTCCGTATCTTGTGCTAAACCTGACATCAAGATAGCAATTCAGGTAGTTATTTGTGGACTGTTCAGTCCGTTTGCGCCCAGTGCAAAAGTTTCTCGGGTCACACCAAAGCCTGAGGTACTCAAAGCCTTTTAAAAGCACGGCGTCACAGCAAGGCACATATATTATTCTTTTCACAGTGACACCCTCTGCCAGTACCTTAAAATCTTCCACAGCTTTGAGTACAGTTACCACTTCCACATTGTCAAAAAGAAGGACGGAGGTTGAGGCAGATTTGTGTAAACTTTGCATATGTTTATTTACAGTCATGGGAATAGGATTTCAGTAGAACTCTTATTACTCACAGTGGCGCTGGGTGCTACTGAATCTGTTGTCCGTGTGCTAGCTGTTGACGACAACTTCAAGGCCCCTGCTATCCCTTCTTATCTTTAAATCAGAGGTGGATTGAACAGCTCTTCAAATAAGGGGCTATCCTCTGTAATGTAGGACACACGCTAGCTAGCAGCATGAGCACAATTCGGCTTTCTGATGACAGAATAACTATAACCCCAACCCACCTGTGGGACATTTTCATCAACCAGCCCCAGATGCTGAAAGCAACATTTAATTTGCTCCTTTCTACCTTAGTTGCTGTTATCCCTGCTGTAGGAGGAATGCTTGTAGTTTTTACCCCACTGAGGAGTTCACAGGGCCTCCAGGGACGATTTTGATCTGGGAAAACTCTCTGTAATTATAGATTTAAAATCACTTCTGTCAGGTGCAGCTGCCCCCAACAAGGATGGGATAAACACACACTCACAGACCCCCTACCTATTTAAAAGTAATATTAAAAAGTGGGGAGACTTACTCTAGAACAGATCCTCCTGCATTCTGTCTGCTTCAAGCTTGAGTCTGCAAGATATACTTCCAGTTGTTGATTTTTTCCATTCCCCCACCAATTCTCCCCAGCTTGACTTACATTTGACCTCCTGCCGAGATTCAGTTATCATTTCTTTCTTCAACCAAAAGCACATTATGTTGCTATGTAAAAACAGACACACTATTTTATCTCCCTCCTTCTTTACAATCAGCCGAGTTCTATGTTTCACAAAAGCCTGAACTGCTGTTTCGTTTTGTAATAACAAGCAATAAAAGACCTAGGCTATTTGACTCCACAACATCTTTCCATTGAGGCAAGTCTGATGTTTTGTATAGCAAAGAAATCCTCCTTTTATTGTTTCGTCTCTCACTTACTCCTTCAAGAGAATGTCCTGATGGTGCCCTTTGTGTTTTGTGTGCTCAGGAAATCTCCCTTGTACTGTGGATTCCATTGGATTTCTGTGTTATAAATCATAGGTCATAATGCATACCCAACAAAATGCAAGGCACACTTATGATTCTCCATACCACAAAGATGATATAGTGGCATGTTTATCTACTATCTTTAGCACATAAAACAACCTGGTAACACGCCGTATCCATAATCCTGGGCCGCATAGCCCTCATCATCAAACAGCATGTTCTTGGTGCTTTCTTGCCTGGGGAACTTTATCGCTCCCATTTTATAGGTTATACTGACTGTAGGAGCCACCACTTTGCGGTGACACACTCATTTACTTTCAAAGTAAAACAATGATGAATGTGGATAACTTGATTCTGTCATTGTGTGTAGCTCTGTACCATCAAAGGTGGAACATCCAGAATCAATATGACTAATAGATTCTGGCTCTCTGTGATAGAGTCAGCAAACAGGATAAATTATCACATCCTCTCTGGCTCACTAGTGATAATGCCTTCCTACTGTTTGATCTGTAATAGCCACGGTGTTGCGTTCTGAGGCTGCTGTCAACCCAGAGAGGGGAGGCACTCGGTCATTATCCACTTGGTCAAGTTTTGAGTAATCTCCATGTCTGTGTCACCTTATTACTTCTTCAGAGGGTGAATCTTTGTTACCTCGGAGACAGAAGCAAAGGATATGCTCAGACAATGCAGGAACTTCAGTCCATTAATTTGACTGGTCCGTTGGCTCCTTACATTATTTGAGTTTGTAGTGATCATTTTAAACTGGCATCAACTAATCATGTCCATGTGGATCAAACCAGTGTCCTGTACCTGCAGATGCATATTCATCTATACCACTCCTCTCTCTCTCTCTCTCTCTCTCTCTCTCTGTGTGTGTGTGTGTGTGTGTGAGAGAGAGAGAGAGAGAGAGATAAAGAGAGAGTGTGTGTACTTTAAAAAGTAGCAAATCAACATTTTTATATCCAAATAATAAGCAGTGACATTTAAAATAACAAATTTTATTGATTTTCAATATATTACACACAAAGAGAGAGAGAATTCTACAGATACATCGAATGTCCCCTCTTTGCCAGCCCTCTCCCTTCCTCCCGCAGAACATGTCATTTTTTGTTGCAACCCAAAAATTGACTGATACTATTGACAAAATATTGTCAGCAGATGTAGAAATTTAACAATTGTGTGTGTTTCAGTCTGAAGGAGGGTTGCCTTTTCTCAATTTTTGTGTGGGAAGAGTTGGAGATATGCCAATGGTGAGCAGGGCCAGAGTTAAAAGTGGGTGGGGCCACAAGCAGCAATGGACAGAACAAAGCGTACGATACTCACCCTTGTAAAGGTAAAGGGACCCCTGACCATTAGGTCCAGTCATGACCGACTCTGGGGTTGCGGCGCTCATCTCGCTTTATTGGCCGAGGGAGCCGGCGTACAGCTTCCGGGTCATGTGGCCAGCATGACTAAGCTGCTTCTGGCGAACCAGAGCAGTGCACGGAAATGCCGTTTACCTTCCCGCCAGAGCGGTACCTATTTATCTACTTGCCCTTTGATGTGCTTTCAAACTGCTAGGTTGGCAGGAGCAGGTACCAAGCAACAGGAGCTCACCCCGTTGCGGGGATTCGAACCGCTGACCTTCTGATCGGCAAGTCCTAGGCTCTGTGGTTTAACCCACAGCGCCACCCACGTCCCATACTTACCCTTGTACATTGGGTTAAATACCCAAGCATGCAAACAGTCAAGAGATTTCTGCACGCACACCTCTCCATCCTCCATCCATGCAAGCAAGCAAGAGGCATTCTTGTGGTTCAAGAACCCATTCAAGCTGAGCAAAATTCACTTGAGTGTGTGGAGCCATCTGCTGATGGTGCAGCCTGAGAAGAATCCCAAGGGCCATAAAGTGATGCCTGAGGTGGGGTGGGGGGCTGCTTTTGGCCCATGAGCCGGATTTTCTCCACTATATAAAAAGAAGCAGCAAGTACAATCAGTTTAGGAAATCAGAAATGAGGGGATAGGAAAGTCGCCCCTGCTGGGACATGAGCAGCTGCCCAAGAATTCTGTGTGTTGACATTCACAGAGCTAAAAACCTCCTTCCCTTCTTGCCATGTTGTTATCAGTGTTCACTAGAAGGTACATTCAAGGTTGGGATCTCATTGACGGTCATCTCTGAGAGGAAATAGCTTTTAGCCAGAACAACAACATATCTTCTGGCACTTTATGTTATGACTGAGATAGAGGATTCCTCATCAGAGGATAACTTGGAGGGTCTGGCATTGCATCAAGCCTCTGAGCAGGCTCAGTCTGGGAACAAGGAGTCAGGATCCTTGGAAGAGACTAAAAAGGGGCTGTCTGCACTGTGAGGAAGTTCATCTGGCAATGAGGTTGAACAAGTCCCAAGCCTGAGCGAAAGACATTACCTCAAATGCCAAACCAAAACCTTCCCCATCCAGAGTGCCCAGCTGCAGTCTCAATAGTAAGTTGATCCCTTGAGGAGCCACCTGGATAAAGAGAGGACTCAGAGGAGGTCAGGATGTTGTTCCAGCAGCTCAAGATTACGCCCCCCCCCTTCCCCAGCTGGAAGAGCTGCCTGTGTACTTTTGGAGTGGCTGGCCATGAGCATGGACTGCCTTCACCTTGTCTCTAGTCTGACCCTTTGTTTTGTACAGTGGTACCTTGGTTCCCAAACTTAATCCGTTCCGGAAGTCTGTTCTAAAACCAAAGCTTTCTAAAACCAAGGTGTGCTTTCCCATAGAAAGTAATGCAAAATGGATTAATCCATTCCAAACTTTTAAAAACAACCCCTGAAACAGCAATTTAACATGAATTTTACTATCTAATGAGACCATTGATCCATAAAATGAAAGCAATAATCAATGTACTGTACTATAAAATAAATAAGACAGTATTGTAGACGATAAAAATTAAAATTATTATTTTTTCTTACCTGCACTGATGGCAGTCATTATTTGGACGGGGGGCTTTATCCATTTCTGCAGCCACACAATCAATCAGTATTGAACAGGCTTCCACACAGTCACAGAAACAAGTCACAAAAACGAAGTCACAAACCACAGTCACAAGTCACAGTCAAAAAAGTGAAAAAGCCACACAAACAAAAACACAAAAAATAGCAAAAACAAAAGCTCCAGGTACAGTATTGCCTCTGTGTTGCGTGGATGCTCAGGACTCAACAGCTGACAGACTCAACAGGAAGCTTCTGATTAGCAGCAGGGGACTCAATTTACAAACTGAACACACTCAACAGGGAGTGGAACATGTTCAGCTTCCAAGGCAAAGTTCACAAACCAGAACACCTACTTCTGTTTCCAAGTTGTTCATAAACTAAGTTGTTCTAAAAGCAAGGTACCACTGTATTTTGATTGTATTATGGATTGGCATTGAACACTACTTTTGTCTTTGCTCATGTTGGAGTTACTACCAAAGATTAAGCTCCCTGCTCTCTTTGAAACCTGTCTGAAACTAGACACCATATGAGTTTCAGATTTATTATGGCACAAGCTTCAATAGACTAGAGAATAGGAGAGCAACCCAATCTTCACATGTTCAAGGTCAGTAGACCAGAATACAAGTCCTGGTTGGGTCCTCTACAATGCTATCATTAACAAAGGATTCAGCTTACTAGCCTTTGACAAAAGCAAGCAGGTTAGACCAAGTCCCAAAATATTTTGAACAGTCCTGTAAAACATTTCTCCGTTTAATTAAAGAAAGGAAAGTCTTGAGTATGTTGAGTAAGAGCTGCTTTTCCAAGCACTCATCACAGCTTTTGACAACTTAATGGAATGTTTTAGTTGGTAAAAAACTCAACTGAGCTGTTAGTTTAAGTAATGGATGTGCAAAATAATTTTTCCTCAGCCCAGTCCACATTCTATTGAAAACCCATTAACAAAATATTTAGAAACTTGCATAAAATGTTGCAAGCATTCCAAAGGCGGCTTGCACCCTTGCTCATTGTTCTAGATACTGGTATATTTATAGTTCTTGCACGCAACAGTGTAAAGTATAATCTAGCAGGGTAACTATATTGTAATAAAGTACTGTGATTCTTGCAAAAGTGCCTTGTGAATTATGGACACCACTAACCCTTGCTTCCATTTATTGAAAACACAGTATGATTACTAAATGCATATAACATGCATTTTATGGACTTCCTTATAGATCTTAGACCTTGTGCGGCTGGAATATCAATACTTGTTTTACTTTCAAGGAGTAGTGCTTACAAATACTATGCATCTGCTGTATTTTTCACCCGTAAGATTCTGATTTCTGATCTGAGCTCAGGGCATCCTGTATTTCTGTACACTCTGTACAGTCCTAAAATGTTGATTTCATATAATTTGGCATACAACCAAAATGTACTCCCGACACTATTTCTCCTCCAGTTTTCTTTTCTAACTGATGCTAAAAAAAACACAACAACAACAACAACAACAACAACAACTTGTGTGTATGCTCAGTTCTGGCTGGCAGTGGAAGCTGACCCACTAGGGCTAAGGAGACTCTGTTCCACAAACCTTAACCTGCCTTCTTGCTTTCAAGCAATTCAGTCCAGTGCCATTGTGCTCAGATCCTGCTTTAGATCTTCCCATAGGCATCTGGTTTGCCACTATGAGAACAGGATGCTGGACTAGACGAGCCACTGGTTTGATGCAGCTGGGCTCCAGTTATGTTCTTAAGTGGTACTGTCTCACAGCTCCCTAGTCTCAGTGTTGCCCTTACACAACTCAGCGAGGGGAAGAATGAGCGCAAAACTCGATTGGCTGTGCCTGTCATTGGATCCAGCTACTGTTGGTCTCCCTGCCTTCTGCTTTGCCAGTCTCAATAGGCACCAGTCACCACTGTTGGGTGAACTTCCAGCCACCCACCCACCCCAAACCCCCTAAGCTTTCTGGCTTTGAGAAGGTTTGAACCTGGGTCTGCACTGTCCTAATCCAGTCTATAACCACCACATTATATTGACTCCTTGACATTTCTCTCTGCTTTACTATACTTGCCACATTCTGACATAAATTTAGAGGGAATGGGAAGAGGAACCATGTTGTAATCACTGGTGAGTCAACCCTATTACCCTACCGGACAACATCTCATTCTTGAAAATTTGTTTGCCTTTATTAGTTGCATTTATATCCCACCCTTCTTTCATGGAACTGAAGGCCACACCCACCTAGGCAGGCACTTAACCAAGCCTAGACCTTCAGCAAGGCTTCCTGCACCATGATCCCTCAAAATGTGTTCTAATTCAATCATTTTCATAGATTGCAGTATAGATGTGTGGGCTATACCGAGAGGAGCTGAAAAGGCTTGTTGAAGAGTCTCCTCAAATGCTTTATGCTTAACACTCCTGCCTTGTATGTCTGTGATGGTCTTCTAAGGGGACAGGGGAGTTTTTTCTCTCTTTTCCTTTAGGGCTCAGTGCCAAGACATGGTCAAACAGAGTGGTTTTCCCCAGTGGATTGGTACTCCTAAATGTTGCTGGGTGGGGGAAGAGAAAAATAATAGAATTGCATTACTGGACCAGCTCAGACTTTGTGTACCTTGCTTGCCCTAACTCTGACCTTTACATGTAGGGCCACATGCCTGTTAAGTGACATCTATGTATGCTTATACAGTAACTGTGCATGCTCCCTCTGATAAGAAACCCATGTTATGCATGTGTGGAATATTGTTGCACAAAGAGCTGTGAAAGCCTAGGTTAGAAGTCCCCTTGGAGACCTTCAGATCTATGCCTGTTGGTCAGGGAGGGGCACAAAGGTCAAAGTGAAACCACTGTTGTGAAGCCTCTTCTCCACACACTGTGAGACACATGGGGGAGGGATTCACTTGAGCCCCCTCCCACATATTGAAAGTTTGTATGAGGGGAGTCCCAAGGTTGCATTTAACTAGTCCTATCACTTGAAACTGATACAGCCAGCTGATCCTTCTCACTACAGCT